CCAGGCGCCCCCCCCCCCAATTTTATTTTAAATGAACATCAATACAATTTTTGACTTGGACTTTTAAACCATTTTACCAGTGGGATTGACTGAGTTAGTGAAACAATACCATTGATTCTGTAAATGTTCTATAAACCACATTGGAAAATGTTTGGGTATCTTCTGCTATAAAACTAAGGACAGTCTCGGATTCACCTTGCGTGGTAAATTTTAGTCCTGGGCTCCAGTGTAAGACACGTATTCCTCGGGAGGGAGAGTCTGGGGAAGGTAAGTCTGGGAAAAACTGTCCAGGGCTGATGCTGGATTCAACCCAAGGAAAGCAGAGAGACTGGGTTAATTAACTCCAGAAAGACCCAAAGTAACAGATCTTTAGCTTCTGCTTTAAGGGTCAGATAACAATCACTTTCCCCCTAACTTTATGAACCGACATCAGATTCCTAAGGACTGCGGTACTAACCTAAAATAAATGATGCACAGATTTGTAAAACCAACTTAACATGTGAACCTTGTAAGAAAACCTAAAGCAATGGGTCCTAGGTTCCTAAGAAATCTGAAACGGTTTTAACTCCACAGCAAATCCAAGCACATAAAACAATCTTATAGGTACATCGCTTTGCATTCCACAGAACACAATACTGTCAGAGTGAACTTTTATCATCTCAGGTTAATTGGTTAAATTAGGAACGTAGTGTAACGTATGTGGTGATAAGCCTCTATGACAGAGAGTGGATGATTATTCTTTTCATCCCCATACATTTGGAAAAAAACTACTTCAACTGATAACCCATCAAAAACAAATCAAGAGATCAGATGGTCCTTTTCGAGCAAAGCCAGGGTTCCGAGCCATGAACATGAAGCGTTGCTAGGAGAAGCAGGAAATGTGAGTAGCCACAAGCCATCACAATCATGATAACCACCAGCAAGGAACAGATAGTACTCATATGAGGTCATGGATAGATGTTCTATGATACCTATGTCAGAGACTCAGCTCAAAGGCCAGTAAATGGCAGAGAGGGATTCCAACACACAGATACATCCGACTCTAAAGCCTGAGGTTTTCCCACACAATCCGCCAGTCAAAGGCAGTCTTCACACGTGCACAGCGCCCGTGAGACTGCTAGACATACTACATGATGCTTTTGAATCTCTGTTAAACAGATACATAACACTCTGGTCCACAAGACTGCAGCCTGTTCACAAAAGACTACAGGTAACCCTCATAATCTGGCAATGAAAATAAAATAGCCCATAGTGGTGAGATTAGCTCTCTACAGAAGACACAGCTCAATCAGCCACAGTGTGGTCACAGGATGACACGGCTGGGATGACAACCAGAAAGGGCCTCCAGCTCCTATTCTACAGGAGCTGGTCTGAAGAAAGCTGTGTTAGCAGCAGTGGTCTGCTCAGAGTTCTTGAAAAAATAGGACAATTTGGAAGAATCTGTGAACACATCTCTAGGGACAAAGGCACCTGTCTGGCCTCTCCAAGTAGCATCTGTTGATTGTTTACCTAGAGTGGAGGTAGATACAACAGCTATGAGGCGGATCACCCTACAGACACTGTCACTGGCCCCCCCATCTTGCTACTCCGATCCTGCACTCTCCCAAGAAACTTTCTGATCACCATCTAGCTTCTCAGGGTCCCTTTTCTCCAGGAAGACTCCAGTCTATTAACAGACCAACCCATATGAACATACTATGCCACATGACAAATTTATTTATTTATCAATAAAGACAATCCATTGCATGGCGGACACGGTTTGGGGCACATTTATATGTGTGTCCTATTGTATTGTTTAATCCACATACCTAGGTGACGTATCATATTGAATACAAAAAAAAAATTAGTTATTGACACTTCAAAGACTTTCGTGGAGGGGTGCCTGGGTGGCGCAGTCGGTTAAGCGTCCGACTTCAGCCAGGTCACGATCTCGCGGTCCGTGAGTTCGAGCCCCGCGTCGGGCTCTGGGCTGATGGCTCAGAGCCTGGAGCCTGTTTCCGATTCTGTGTCTCCCTCTCTCTCTGCCCCTCCCCTGTTCATGCTCTGTCTCTCTCTGTCCCAATAATAAATAAAAAAAAATAATAATAATAATAATAATAAAAGACTTTCGTGGAGTCTTCAAAATATAGGAGGCAGGGCTAGGTATTGAATTCAGGTAGGATTCTATACCTTTATAATAAATCCCCAAGGTCTAAGGGTAATTTAAAAGGGAAAGGAGTGTTGGTAGACTTGAAAGTCTATGCAAACTTTTAGATGCAAACTTTTAGATGAGCGATTACTCTAGAAATCAGGTCCAGAAATTTTAGCAGATTTTAAGAAGGATTTTTATCCCAGAAAACTTTAAGAACCACCAGCACGGTATTTTGTGCAGGCTACATGCATTAAGGTGACATTACTCAATTGTTACCAATTTAAGTTTCAGTCACAGGCAAATAGTTTAATGCTATAATAATTGCTGATAGTGCTAATTACTTGATAGTGAACCTGACCTCTGCTCAGAGCTCATTATATGATGCCTCTCCGGGTTCCTTCTATTCTTAAGATGTGAGTAATTAAGGGTGGATGGTGATACGCACATGCATTGGCCGAAGTGCTTCTATTCTCTACTTGGTGGCCTCCAGTTCCCTACCCAAAAGGGAGCATCAGACTACAGCCTGCACTGGGCTGGCCCATTTTGGGGTCATAGCAATCAGCCATGTGCAGGTAGGGCTGAAGATGGGCTTAACATCTTCCATTTTGAACACCTGTTTCTTTTTTATTAGACTTCCCATGTAGCATAAAGTTTTATTACGGGAGAATACAACAGATGTTTTACGGTCACTTTTGCCGGAAATCACCATTCCTTATACCACTCAGTAGAGAAACCGGCAATGTAAGATAAGTACAGTCTGTTTTCTCACTTCTTTTTCTTGTGCAACATTTTAAATAGTTACTTTAAAATTCAGAAATCAAACCCAATTTTAGCAACGTGGAGCTATGGAACAAACTCTAAAGTCACTGGCTCCCATAAATAATTGTGTGCATTTTCAGTAAAACTGATATTTAATTATAAATCTTTCTATGATGTTACAAAAAAAATACCACCCCAAGATGCTTTGGTCAATTATATCTCAATAAAACTGCGGAGAAAAAAAAAGATGCTTTGTAAGAAAAAGGAAATCCTACTGTGTTTATGACTATCTTATTTCACAGTTAACAAAAAAGAAGTTTAGGCCTTTTTTTTGGTCACTTTTGCTCAAGGTCTAAAATTTTTAGCTTCCATAGTCAAGACTGTAGTACAGAATATAATTCTAAATTGGAAGTATATTTTAGAAACATTCACGTTGTAAATATTTGCTAAAAATATAATAATTATTGCAAACCTATTGATCTTAAATATTCTGTTCTTTGAACTCTTACTGATAAAATATGATTATACTCACTGGTTATAAGAAGGAGCTCAGGAAAATGGGATTGAAAGGGTAGTTTTATTTAAAAAAAAAGTCTCACCATTACTGTGTTGGAAAGATTTAGCGTGGTCTTTAGAGTATCAGCATTTTGACCCTGAAACTGATAAATATGGATAAACATCACTTAATCAGACAAGTGCATTATTTTAAAGAAGGACACTTTAAAAAACTTTTTTTCTCAGACCAATAGTTACTTATCTTGCAACTGACAAAGAATAAGAGTCCTTTCCAAAGCTTTACACAAGGAGCCAGAATTGAAGTTTTCACTTTCAGTCCCTTATGTGCCTGGACACCTGGGTGGCTCAGTCAGTTAAGCATCCAGCTCTTAACTTCGGCTCAGGTCATGATCTCATATTCTCATGGTTTCATGAGTTCGAGCCCCATGTCAGGCTCTGCGTGGACCTTGCAGAACCTGCCTGGGAATCTCTCTCTCCGTCTCTCTCTCTGCCCCTCCCCTATTCACTCTCTCTCTCCCCCTCTTTCTCTCAAAATAAATAAAAATAAATAAAATTAAATTTTTTTTTTTTACTTTTGAGCAAGTGTAATGGCTTGAATTTTAATAGGTATGGACAAACAGCTGCTCAATAAATATTTATTGCCTGAATTTTCTTTTAAACTGTTGTATGGAAACCAATTTGACAATAAATTTCATATTAAAAAATTTTTTTTAAATGATCATTGGCAAAGATAGGCTCAAATTCTTCCGAGAAATGGGTGTGGTTACCAATACAAACAAGATGAACAAAAAACTTTGTTTCACTTTAAAACTTCAAATCAGTTACACCTATATGTGCACACGCTACCCCCTACCATCTAAAAATACCACAGAGGACGGAGATTTCGTTTAGGTGTTTGTCTCAAGCAGTGCCTGTCCACTGTTCACACTCCACATCTGTGAAATGATGGTTCTGAACAGAAAACAGAAAAGACAGACCTTTCGGGACTGTCCTCCAGAATGGCGCAGAGAAAATCTCCTGTCTTTCAATGCCCTCCACCAAAGCACCAAAGTACTCTACTTTTTCTTGGGAGATATCTAGCTCCCAAGTATTTGGGCTGTGTGTGTGTGTGTGTGTGTGTGTGTGTGTGTGTGTGTGTGTGTGTTTTCCAACCCATTCCCCCATGCAGTCATGCCAATCTGCTTACAGGCCTTAGAACATGTGTTACTGGGACCCACCTCAGCAGCTGGCTCCTCCTTCGAGCCCCGTGTCTGAAATACACTCATCACCAAAGCACATCTGTAACATCCTTTCAAAACCTCTCTCCAGATTCACACTTCCCTCTGAACCCTAGTGCCTCCTGACCACATCTTCATTTTTCAACGTTCTTTGAAGAAACCCACGGTTTAGCAGTACAAACTGCTCTATTTATAGGTTTCCCTCCCCATGGGATCAGAAGCATCATCAGTTCTGTTTCCCTTATAGCGTTTAATAATCTCCATTTCCGGGGTTAGACCACAGTAGGTATTCAGTAAATTTGTACCTAAAGCAGAATAATAACGCTGTGCTTTTACACTTATGCTGACTGAAGCCAAAATTGCACTTACGATCGTGCACTTAACGATGCACTCGTGACGTTTACGCACTGTAAACAGACAGATGTGTGAGGAATGCAATGACTCACCACCTAGTTATGTACCCTCAGTGTTGGGATGGCCATCAGACCTTCAGGCCAGCTGCAGACATGGAAACTGCACCTGCAAGTTGCACCTAGGACATGTCAGGCATCAACAGCAACGTAAAGACACACGGATCAGCAACTCAACATCACACCCCCGCCCTGGTTCTGACACATTCAGAAAACAGTGTACGTTAGGTTTAGAGAGACATGGGATTTTCTTGCAGCAAGTAACAGACTGTGAGAGCCAGAAAGAGTTTTTAAGATCATGCCTCAGGTCCAAGCTTGCTTCACGTGACAGCAAGAACAGAGCCAGGAAGGCAGGAGAGCAGTGAAGGTCACAGTCATTAGTATAGCCAGGTGACGGCCCTGAGTTCTCTCATTCCCAATGCGGCAACCCCTACCAGTGCTATGTTCTTCTGTCTTCCTAGTGATGTCTGTCTTAAGCTGCTATTATAATGAGCTTCCCTTGTCTTGGGGGTGCCTGGGTGGCCTGGTCAGTTAAGCGACCGACTCTTGATTTCGGCTCAGGTCATGATCTCATGATTTGGCTCATGGGACAGAACCCCACATTGGGCTCTATGCTGACAGTGCAGAACCTGCCTGGGATTCTCTCCTCCGCCCCTCCCCTCTCTCAAAATAAACAAACTTTTTTTAAAAATGAGCTTTCCTTCTTGAAACATACATGAAAGTGATTGGAGGAAGAGAGTTTGGGGGAAGACATACAGGGTAGTGGAGGGAAGGAACAGCAGTTGGTATTTTAATGTTTATTTATTTTTGAGAAAGAGAGAGTCAGAGTATGAATGGGGCAGGAGCAGAGAGACAAGGGGACACAGAATCTGAAGCAGGCTCCAGGCTGTAAGCTGTCAGCACAAGAGCCCAACACGGGGCTCGAACTCACAAACCAAGAGATCATGCCCTCAGCCGGTCAGACGCTTAACTGACTGAGCCACCCAGGCACCCCAGTATTTTAAAGGAACTAACCCAGTCGGAGATAAAACACACACACACAAATGTGTGCACGCACACACACACACACACACACACACACACACGCATCCTAAATACACCTGCAATTTCTGTACCATTGTACTTTGGCTGCTTAGAAGGCAACTAACTCATCCCCAAAACCAAGCAGGGAAGTGAGGCTGCTTCAAACTACTTCTGATGAACTACTTCTGATGCTTGAGGAGGGTATTAACACTTTTTTAACTCTAAAACTAAAAAAAAAAAAAAAAAGTTTGTCCATTTTGCTCTCTGGAAAATCCACTTGGGAGAAGTGTCATTCCCAGATGATACTGGATGACTCCTGTCCCACTGGGGCTGATGGACGAGCAAAGTTGGAGAAGGTGGAGTCGATGAGAAACCAGGCTCTCCTCCAGGACTTGCATTTCCCTCAAACTGCCTGTCTTTACGGTCTACTTATGAACCCTTCCCACTGACATGCACATCCAGCATATCTACAGTACGTGCTCTTCTGAAAAGCTGCAGGCAGGATCGTCCTGCCCTTCTGGTCTCAGCCCAGTGCCCATCTCTCCCATGAGCTCATACCGTGTCCTGCTTCTGCAGCAATTATATAATCTGAACAATATACTTCAGTGCTTAATCATCCACTCCTGTGCATGTGAGAAATTTCTTCCCCACAACACACATATCTTGCAATCAAGAAACAGATCTACACTTGTGGGTGTTTCTTTTCTTTTTTTGTATTTATTTTTTTAATGTTTACTTACTTTTGAGAGAGAGAGAGGCAGAGAGACAGAGCACAAGCGAGGCGGGGGGAAGGGGAGGGGCAGAGAGAGAGGGAGACACACAATCTGAAGAGGCTCCAGGCTCTGAGCTGTCAGCACAGAGCCTGATGCGGGGCTCAAACTTGTGAACTGTGAGATGATGACCTAAGCCAAAGTCAGACACTCAACCAACTGAGCCACCAAGGAGCCCCTGGGTTTTCTTTTCTAATAACCTCCTCAGTTAAAAGAGCTCAAGGATTCACAAGTGAGAAGGAAAAAAAAAAGCCTGAGAAGTGATTCATATATGATTTCTCCATTCATTACTTCCTCTGGGCAGAGTAATCAATTTAGAACATACCAACAATACCTGTTAATTGCTTCATTTTTGTCTTAGAGTAACTATAACTCCAATTAGATTTTCTTCTAGAGTCTTTTGAGAGGCAGACCGGCCTTTGGTTCTGTTTCAAATCATTTAAGGACCAAAAAGATAACTGGAAATAGTGGGTAGAAATTCCAGGCAACATTCAGTATGACTTTGAAGTCCAGTGAAACATGAATAACTTGGGACCCTATTCGTATTTCATAGTGATGCTCATTCAATCATTCTTAATGTGAATTTTTTTGTGATCAGGAACTTTGTTTAAGAGGCTATGCTTAATATGCTAACCTCGATGGTAATGACCACTTCAGTGTTTATTAAGAACTTACATTTTCCTCCTACTGGAGACTACTCAGAACTCAATAAAAATCTGTCCCTCACGCCTTTATACCTTGACAACAAGGTCTACACTGGCGAACAAAATTTGTTAGGAGGTGGGCAATGGCACATCCATCATCCTCTTTCAAAGCTCAGGTTCAATCTGAGAGAAAGACCTGGCTTGCTATATAGTCAAGTCTTCCCTCTCCCGCTTATTTATTTTTTTTTACCAAGACTGTTGATATAGACTAGATTATCTGAATCCTTAAAGTATAAAAGTCATGAGGCCGAATAAACTTTAAAAGGTTGGATGCACGTGCAGTGCACTTAGAATTGAGGTTTCGGCTTCTTAGTAAAGAAACTGAAAGTACTTGTTTAGGAAATAAAAGAAAAATGTCCTATACATACACTGGGTTTTGAATCACATTGGAAAAACACTGTGATACTATAAAAACCCTTACCTTCTCCTATCTCCCCAGTGTTTACAGTCTATGATATTTTGTTTCTTTATTTCATTGGTTCAGATAAGTTTCCTGGGGGGATGGGGAGGAGGCGGGAATCAACTTATAACCCTTTTTAAACATTTTGTTAGGGTTTTTTTCCTGTTTCTCTTAAAAATAGCCTAGCTAACGTTTATGGAATGTGTTCCAGGTGCCAGACCGCATGCAAAGGGCTTGAACTGGATTATCTCATTCAATCTGCAGGTAAACTGAGGAAGTGGGCCCCGTGTGAAAGGGATAAACCAAGTGGTCAAGGTCACAGGGCACACATGCAGGGCTTGGGGCTGTCGGCCTCATCATGTGCTCATCCTGGACACATTGCACTGACATCTGACACCTGCCTCTGGAAATGAACACATGAAGGCTTTAGGGGGTGGGGGGAAGCTGGGCAAAATGCCCCGCGTGTCACTTCTACAGGGAACCAGTAGCTGAACGTTTTCACAACAGAGATGTGTCTTCCAATAACACGTTCTGTCACCTGATGAAATTCGGACATTTCTCTTCAAAGAAACCTTTTTTTCAAGCCTTTTACAGCTTCACCTCCATATAACGAAAAGTTGCTGCCTTTTTTTTTTTTTTT